TATATATATATATATATATATATATATATATATGAATAGGAGCAAGTTTGAAGTGTTGGATTAGTTGTCAGAATAAGTGGTGCTTTGAAGCGTTTATCTTGTAGTCGATAGCATTAAAACAAGCAAAAGTTGTTGTTGATATTATTGTTCTTTTTTTTCAGCATTTCTTTCTGTTCATTGTTTTTCTTCAGTTTTCGGTTGTGTTCACCATTTGTTAAGCCTTTTTTTTTTTTGAATCATGCAAGAAAAAAAAAAAACGAAGAATTGTAACAAGATTTGGTTATTTCCCTTTTCTTTTTGTCCATCAATTTAAGAATAATTTTAGATATTTTTGCAACATTGTTTATTCAGCTATTTGCTCAATGTTTAATCATCTTTGTAAAGTAGTCCCAATGTTTTTCGATGGTTATTTTTTAAAGCTTTGTCATTGGGGAAGTTTGATTAACAAATTCATTTATGTTAACGCTTGAAAAAGGAAGAGGGGAGCATTGGATTTGTGTACAAATGTATTTATAAAGGATTGAAGAAAGAAGAGAGCAACACATATTTTTTGACACCCCAAAAAAATTTGTTACTGAAATGTGCAAATTTTATTGTTGTTGTTGTTGTTTTTTTAGCTTGTTTTGAAAATAGTTTGGTAAAGTTTAATGAACTAAAAGGATGTAAGATGGAAGTTGAAAGAAAACAGGAATTATAGGGGAGATAAATGCCGGTTGGGAGAGGAGGAGAGGGAGATAGGCAAAATATTATAGAAAACCTTAGCAGTTTAACGGGTTATTTATTGCCAACATATCGCTATAATTGAGATACGATAAGCTTAAGAAATTTAATTATATTCACTTTATTCTTTCTTTTTTTTTTCTTTCTGCTGCCTTTAAAACAAAAAGCATAAATGCAACATATGAAAAAAGCATCAGAAATGAAAGAAAGAAAGAAAAAAAAGAATTGGCATTTTAGATTAATTTTAATTTTCAGATAAATTAACCGAGAGTCTCTTGACGATTTCTTGGTAAGCATTTTTTTTTACTTTCTTTTTTTTGAGGCTGATGACAGCAAAATAAAAAGGATAAGTTGATGATAAATGACTGCAGAAGGAAATTCTATTTTTCTTCCTTCTTTCTATTGTCGTTTTTGATTTTTTTTTTTTTTTATTTGGTCAGATATTCACAAAATTTTCGGCATCGTCAGATTTTTTTCGTTGTAATTGTTACTGCCATTGGTTTTTAATGTTTTTGATACTCCCAGCAGTAACTGAGTGATATTATTGTCTTGTGTGATTTTGCACTTGACTGATTTTTGATTAAAGAAATTAAGACTGTAATAAAAAAAAAATTTTTTTTTTTTTGATTATCATTATTATTTTTTTTTCTCTTTGAGGGTGGCAATTTAAGTGTAAGCGAAAGTGAAGAGAAAACCATTGATTACATTGATGGTTAAGGAACTGAAAAGGGAAGTGGCTGAATGCTCATCTAAAAACCAGTCCCCCCCCTCTTGCCCTCCCCCCTTCTCCATGCCCTTCGTCCCCCTCTTTCTAAACATGCATAAACTGCCTGCTAAAGGTAATATTGACGCAACAAATATCGGTTTTCAGGTTGATTTACGTTTTCAAAAGATGAAATAAAGGGAAGGAAAAATGAAAAAAAAAGCTTAGCAACTTTTAAAGCTTCTATACAGCAGCAGCAGCAGCAGTAGCAGAACTGCATAGGTAACTAAAGTTGTTGATCTTTGGTCTTGCATAAGTGAATTATTGGTGAAGAAGAAGATAGGGGAAGGGGACGCATAGCAGGACGACTTTTTGACTCATATTCTGTGTTATTTCAGTGGAAAATATCACTTTTTTTTGCTGCACGTATCCAGATCGGTTATAATTGTAGTTCCTATTCTTCTTCTCCATTATTTTTTTCTGGCTAAATTTTTATTATACGATAACTTTCCTATAAAAATGTTTGAACAGATTTTTTGAGAAGAAATAAACAGAGGGAAAAATTTTTTATTTTTCTTTTCGATGAGAAATATAGATATTTGCATTCAAATTCAGTGAAATAGATGGATAAATAAGCATACAGCATAAGAAAATCTATGAACAAAATTGGCAGCTCGGCCATCTGTATAAAGATTGTTGAGCAGGTGAAGTGTAAAAATAATTTTCCAGCTGTGTGAATTGACTGTTGTTTTCGAGACTGTCTTCTATTATTCTTCTAGCGATACGAGTGAGAAGAGGAAAAAGAATGAGAAGAAGAAGAAAACGATGATGATGATGATGATGATGATGACGGTGCTGTTGAAGGAGGAGAGGAAGAAGAAAAAAAAGAAGGGGAAGAAAAAAATTGAAGATTGGAAATCGCTTTTCAGTCGACAAAAAATCGGGAAGCATCTTTTTCTTTCTTCTATTCTTTTCACTATCAAACCA